TTATCAAGATTTTCTAAAGGCTAACTTGATATCATTGACTATAATTTGAGAAAATTAAATTTACTTTTTATTTTATGATTAGGATTCCTGCCACCACACCCCGTCCGCCTCCCCCCCCCCCCCCCCCCACCCAACACACACACACACACACACACACACGTAGTTCAGCTATAACACGTGTTTCGTTAACGTGAATCAACTGTAACGTGATTGATGAATAGCGGGTGTTGTTTGGATAACATGAACCTTCTGCCGTACAGGTAAGGATTTTCTGTAGCAATTTCCCTATAACACGATTTTCTATAGTGCGAAGTTACACAAGAATGCAACTATTACATTATAGGAGAACTACCTGTACAGACAAACACACACACACATATAAACAAACACCATTTTGATCTGTTATCCCACATCCCTTCCCACACACGCATGATGTATTCAACATATTCAACTAATGTTAAACATAGACTGTCAATATTCAACTTCCATCATCTGATTTTATTACCTGAGACCTTCATAGGAAAAAAGTTCTAAGATAAATGCTGATCTAAAATGGCTGCTGTGATCATCTGACCACAGAATGAGGCATGTCCATAGAACCCAGATGGAATAAAAGAAACCCATCTGCACTGAGATTTTCATGGTACCTAAAGATCAAAACCACCAACAGAATCTGTGTCAAGAAAATGTCAAGCGAATCTCCTGTTTAATTTATAGCAGCATGATTGCACATACTGGGCACCAGGGGCTGTCTGCAGCTGTCAACTTGGAACAACAATGGAGCTGACTCAGGAATGTACAGTACAAATGGACCTATAACAACAGATGCTCTGAGCAACAAAAGACAGAGAGAGAAATATAAACTGATAACAGCAAGGACTTTGCAAGACTCCCTCCCCCTACCTCTCTTAACCTCGAAGCCAGTTCCTGGTGAAAAAAACAACCATTTAACTATTGCTGCAGAATATGAGACAACAATCAAACAACCGGCCTCAGGTTTAAAATCTACCACCTCAAAGACTGTAAGGACATTTTTTTAAAAAAACTGTATAGCCAATTTTTGCCATCTATAGCAGACACTTTATTTTTACATTTATTAGATATGTGTGTGTGTGTGTGTGTTGATATGTTCTTATTGTTTTTCTCAGGGTTAAAGAGATAGTAAAATTCCTTTTCCTTATACTCAAGAAAACCGTGTAATTTGGCTCCTTCGTTTTGATATGTTTAATAATTTTTAAGTACAGTGTGATATCTCTGTGCTAAAAACTAAATTAATATATTTGTTAGACCGAGAGAAGTTTAACAAGCTTCTCTACACACACACACACACACAAACAGTCATCTTCCCATGTCCCACACCCTCCTCCCCTTATCTTCATATAGGTCAGCCTGACGATGGCAGACAGCTTGTAGGCTCAGCAGCTCTGACAACCTGTACCTGACCCCTTGTGCTGCTGCCCCAAAGGCGACTTTTTTAAAGGATGAATGGTTTTTCCATACTAGCAATTTATTTCACTCAAATAATGCATTAAACAGTGTAAGTTACAATGATAGTGATTCAGAGAGAGACTGAGAGATTGAATAGAGCAAGGGTACGGCCTGTCATTATTTGGGACTCCATGTCATTATGTGGCTCAGTCTTGGAGCAGGTGGAACTTGCAGCTCCATTGCTGATTCTGTGACGCTAACTGGAGGCATGACCCACCGCTTGGGAAACACTGCCCTGTTGCTTCGGTCCTGGGTTACTTGCAGCAGTGTCCAGGAGGTCAACCTTTAATTCCTGGAATTGTGGGGAAAATCCGGGAATATTGGTAAAAGTCTCCAGCATGAGTCCTCACTTTCAGAAAGGCGAGAGGAAATTATATTTTATTCACATTCATTTTCATTTTTATTTATATTGGAACGGAGATAAGGTCTAATGAATGCATTTTTCAACTGCTGTATGGATTGTGCAATGGGTAACGGCACCTGTCTCTCTCTTCCAGAATGTTAATTCTGTCAACTTCCACAATTCCACAGGATTCAAGAATGCGTAGTTTTCCTTCTTCTATGTCTTTCTTTCCTTTCACTTAGCCTCATGTTTTGTATCTCTTTTACCTTACTCATTTTCACTTGCTGTTACTATTATGTTTTCTCTTATTTTCTCATTCTTTCAATCACTGTTGATGCCATTGGCTGGTTCTCACTTTCATTCTCACTCTCTCTTGCTCACTTCTGCATGTTTTCTTACTATCACTCACTCACTCTCTTTCCCTTTTTCTCTTTCTTTCTCTCACTCTTTCATCACTTATTTTTCTGTGAAATGGTGACTTCAAAGTTCTCTGTCTTGCAACAATTTCATCCAGTCCTCATCAGCCTGATTCCTCAGAACAGTACTGATCAATGCTCATCACATTCAGGCTGGGAAAGAAAAATCACTAAGCAGGAATGTCACCCTACTTAGGTGATTGTTACTCTGAAGTTTTATATCTGGTACATTGGGACACTGATATTTACGTCTTTGTTTTGATGTTCTGACCTGACCTTCATTGAGCCCTGTAGGTTTATTTGATATTCAGCAGTTACATAGGTCGGATGCATATACCAGATGTTCCGTTTCCCCAGCAAAGAGCTCTTTGATATAGTTTACCCGTTACATCAAAAACTAACCTCACGTTAATGCACAACACACCAAGGACATTTAAGAAGAATCTTTCAATTTGCTTAGGTGTATACCAGTAGGCTAAACAATAGGGATACTATTTATAAGTTATTTTCTCTCCTTGACAATCTTCAAGTGGAAAGTTGATTTGAGTTTGTAACTATGCCAACACAAATATTAACTAATTTCCCATAATTTGATTGGCCTATACCTCTGTGGGAATCAGATGACCTCTCCTGAATTGCACTGGAGGAACTGAAATCCTGGGATGGAATGTTTCCACAGGATTGACTTAGAGAGAACATGATTCACAATTCAACCTTTGTTGTTATAACACTAATTAAACTGTCCATTGGAATTAAGCAAAAAAAGGGGAGGAAATTCAAATATGATGGTAGATTCAAGGGACTGTTCATGATATATTTCAGGGATCATATGCAAAATTAAACTAAATGAGGTATTGGTTATTTGGGAGAGTCAAAAAGAAGAAACTTAAATTAGTAACATGAATTTGAATCTGACAGAAAACATTATTTAATTAGCTGAATGGGAAGAAAAGTGGGAGAGAAAGGATTAGGATGAGACCTAGTTATTACACCTTGTTCACAAATTCTAGGAGTCAGATTGAGACCACCAGAAACTCATTTCATATGCAACGATTGCAGCTAGCAGGAGGTCCAGACTGGATGTGAACTTAGAGTTGAAAGGAGCAGTATATTACACCATGTTGCACATAGTTCCAGTGGAGGTTTTAATTCAGGACCTTTTGGCTTTCAGTTTAATCATAGCAACAAAACTTCATCTTATGAACACTATAAATATTTAATGTTATGATTTGTTTAAATCTAGTACAATGGATCAGTCTAGATTTTAAATCTGTGAACTGAGAGAAGAATTAAATTTTATCAAAAGGTAAGATGTGACAGACAAGTTGGTAGGGAGGAAACAAAAGTTAGGAATAAATGGGTCTTTTGCGAATGGCAGCCCACTGGTGGGCACTGCAGGCATCAGTGCCCACCCACTAACAGTATAAATTGTTTAGATAAGGGAACTAAATGTCAATTCTTCAAGTTTGCAGATAGCACAAAGTTTGGCTGGAAGATGAACTGTGAAGAGGCTGTACAGATACTTCAGTGTGATTTGGACAAGTTGAATAATTGGGCAGACGCAGGGCTGATGAAATATAATGTGAATAAATGTGAGACAATCTACTTTAGTAGCAAAACCAGGAAGACAGCTTATTAACTGAATTGTGGTAGATTGGGAAAGGTGCAATGAGACCTGGGTATCCTTGTACACCAGTCACTGAAAGTAAACATGCAGACGCAGCAGGCAGTGTAGGGTATGTTGCCCTTCATAGCGAGAGGATTTGAGTACAGGAGCAGGGATGCCTTGCTTCAATTGTACCAAAACTTGGTGAGACCATACCTGGAGTAATTTATGCAGTTTTGATCTCCTTATCTGAGGAAGGATGTTCTGATTATGGAGTGAGGGCAATGAAGGTTTACCAGACTGATTTCTGGGACGGCAGGACTGATGTATGAGGAGACTAGATTGGTTAGGATTGTATTTACTGGAGCTTAGAAGATTGAAGGGAAATCTCAAATCTAACAGGACGACACAGGATAAATGCAGGAAGGATGTTCCCAATGGTTGGGGAGTCCAAAACCAGGGGTCAGAGTCTAAGGAATGGAGTGGGCCATTTAGGACTAAGATGAGGAGAAATTTCTCCACCCAGAGACTGGTGATCCTATGAAATTCGGTGACATAAAAGGCGATTAAAGCCAAAACATTGAATTTTTACAGGAAGGAGTTAAATATAGTTCTTAGGGCTCAAGGATCAAAGGGTTTCAGAAGAAAGTAGGAACAGGGGACTTAGATGATCAGCCATAATCATGTTGAATGGCAGAGCAGACTCGAAGGGCTGAATGGCCTATCTCTGCTCTTATTTTCTACATGACCAGTTACCTTACAGTTTAAATTGCTAAATGAACAATTTTAGTACAATATTCAATAAAATGTGGTTGATTGAAAATGTATTTTTGTCTGTATTTAGAAGTGCCAGTATTTGGTATTTATAAAGTAATTGCAGTGATTGATATTTTGTATGTGATTAATGTGTTCATAGATTTACACTGCATGTTAGCAGATTATTTGGATATTGGAACTGAGCCCAATCCCGTACTTTGTTGATCAGCAGCCATTACTAAAGCATTACATTGCTCACTCACCCCTTTTCTTATTTTTGCAAAAAATACATTTTGCGTATGGGAGATTTAAAATGTTATCTGAACAAGCTAATTTTTGGAATCATACTTCCTTTTGGATGCTTGTTAACTTTGCTTTTCTCTGTTTACAGATACTACTCAGAAAAGTGAATCACAACAAACTCAGCTTTCTCGATCGTACCCTATCCCAAACTCATCTCAAACTGCCACATATGAAGAATCAAGGTTACTACTTTCAAATCTGTCGTTACATCAAATCTTTTCAATCATAATGGCTGCTTCTGATAGAATAGAAAGTCACCACGGGGCAGGGATTGACAAACTTAATAAGAAGAAAAGTTATTTAAAATTTTTTGAAAAAAGCACTCTGCTAAAAGCTGTATCCTGTTACTCAAATACCAAAAAATAAGCAGAGACACAATTCAACATTTAAAGGATGTCACAAAAGATTTATTAATTGAATGGTATTTTCTCACAATTACAATGTTAATAGAAGTTTGTTTAAACAAAAACAGAACAATCCATTAGTAACATAATAGGTCTGATTGGTCAAGGTTGTAACCTGCACAAGAATCTGTAAAGTGTAACATAGCTCCAGAGCCACAGATTGCAGACCCCTGCTTTAGGGAATGTTGGTAAAGTCAGGGATTCTGCTCAATGGTGAGTGTAGATGTTTAACTTGTTAACACTTTCTATCTGCACCATGAAGTGAAGATAGATATTTAACTGTGATACCTTGGGGCTGTTGTAGATAGAACTCTACCCCGATGTTAATTAGGGTTCAGGGAGAAGACATAGAAAACTGAAACAGAGATAGTAGGAACTGCAGATGCTGGAGAATCCGAGACAACAAGGTGCAGGGCTGGATGAACACAGCAGGCCAAGCAGCA